AAAGTGTAGCTTAACTAACTGAATAAGAAACACTTGCGACAGGAAACAGTAGGTTATTTCAGTTCCCAAATGGTGGATTTACATCACCTTATTTTCTTGTGGTGAGCACATTTGGTCTTGTCTGTTTTTTCCTTACACCTATGTGTGGAAAGTTGGACTTTCTATGTAAGTGTGAAAATTAATGAGTTGGAATAACTTTTGCGTGTTCATGTTGTCCTTTTGATAATTGATGACCTTAAATTACAGTTTTGGTTATACGGTGCTAGGACAGAACCTATGAGGCTGAATATGATTGACTTTATGATCTTACTCGGATATTATTAGATTAGTGAAATACTTTATTTGATTATTACTCAGACAGAAACTAGGATATTATTAGATTAGTAGTTGGAACTTTCTGGCTGGAATTCTGTAAAATCATAGAATTTGCGTAACAACGATGATGCTAGAGAAATGGAAAAATTGGAATCTTCAAAAAAAGCATGTGCAAAATACTTCATTTGATCACAGTTTCTGGAACCTTGAAAATTATTGCTCCCATATGATCAACTCCTTGTGCTACATCTAGAAAAAAAGAAAAAAAAAGTGTTCCATATGCTCCAAAGAGTTGGAGGATACGTTGATTGGCTTTAGTTAGCATTGTCAAAGGACTTCTTCATTGTATACTAAGCAGTTCTCAAAACTTAAACGCATGTCTTTTTAAATTTCAGATGCAGCAAAAAATTTGTGATGCATATCACAATTTCAGATGCATGTCTGTCTGACATATGCAATATTCTGTTTCGAGTGTTGTTAGGAGATTTGCGGCAACTAAATTATAAATTCTCTGATAATGCAATGATTTTTTTAATTTTTTTTTTTTTTTGCACTTTTGAATGCAAAATCCGCTAGAGTGTAACTTCCTGTTGTTTTCACTGGCCTGAGATCGATTTTTTGAGCCTTGAAGGAATCAGAATGGCATGTACATGATTGATGACTTTTTGTAATTTTCTCAATAGCATCCTTTGAAAATGGCTTTTAAGTACAATCCCAAAGTGTAGACCTGTCCAAAAATAAATGACAGGGCTCTTGCAGCTACATGAAGATGAGAAACGAACTTCAGAGAAAAAAACATGCGTGGAAATGTTGACAGGGCCAAGAATTTGGACGCGGTGAAATCTAAATTAAGGCTTAGCGAGGGGAAAACCGTGACTGATATTTCATCTTTTTGTTTTGTGTTTGTGTGTGTGTGTTTCTTTTTTTCCTTTTCTTTTTCTCTTTATCTACGCCATTTCCCCATGCATTCGTTTGATGCTTTTCTTCTTTTTTTTTTTTTTTCATTTACAACATTTTGGCAAATGCTTACTACAGTTTGGCAAATGCTTCCTATCACATGAGGACTATCAAATTTAAAGGAACAACCATAATACTATAATGTCAAGCTTCTAATTTGTACATGCGTCAAGAAAAAGAAAATTGTAATTTTTTCCCTAATTGACTATTCACTCACGCCAGTGGACGGAAACAAATATGATCATTCTGAATCTCTAAAGAACTAAGTGGGGGTAACATATTGCAAATTATTATAATTGTTGCAAACTAAAATACTTACTGTTGCACATTCACTTGCAAATGTAAATCTGATTTGTATGATGGCTAAATCAAGGGCTTCTATGGTCCCTGAATTGGCTAAGTGACCCGCCATTTAAGGACTTGCAGGTTAAAGAATTTTTCTTAACAAAATTTTTTATCTGCAAGAATTCAATGACTTTTTGCAGCCACAGGTTTTGCAAATTTTGGAAGGAATGGATGTGAAATTTTCTCAGGAGGAGGATCGACGCATATGGAAGCCATCAGTGGGGGATTCACCCTAGCAACCGCTTATATGGAAATCAGGGAGAGGAAAACCGAAGTCCCCATTATGAAATGTTTTTGGAATAAATTAATTCCCATAAAAATCTCTTTCTTTTTTGTGGAGGTTGTTTAACCAACTTGTTGCTTTTCCAGAAGTATTACAGAAGATGGGATTTAGTTCTCACCCAACTAGATGCCCAATGTTCCTTCAAGCGGAAGAAAGCATACAACACGTCTTTTATGAATGTCCACAAGTGAGAAAGGTTTGGAATTATTTCTTTGCATTGTATGGAATTTTTTTACCTTTTAGTGCAGGTTTATGGAGCTTTGTGCAAGCATGGTTTTCAATTGGAAACTTCTCATCAGCAAAAAAAGTAGTTATCATGATCACTCGAGCCTTCATCCTATGGAAAATTTGGAAAACACGAAATAAGTGTTTTTTTAAGGCACTTTGTTTTCTTTTGACTCAATAACTCATGGAATTTGCACTAACGTTTCAATGATTTTGAATATTCATGAGTTACGAGCAAGAACCCAAGCTAAGGTACATGAGCTAGAGGAAATTTTTCAAGTTAAAGTCAGAGGAAGGAAAGAGAAAAAAGTCACTTTACTATGTTGGATACCACCGGAACCTGGAGAGATCATTATCAATACTGATGGGTCAGCATTAGGAAATCCAGGAGAATCGGGATGGGGTTTTGTAGCTCGAGGAGAACGAGGCATTTTCATCAAAGCAATAAGCAAACATATGGGAGAATCGACCAGCCTCTCAGTAGAAATAGAGGGTATTGTACAAGGATTGAAATGGGCAGAAGAAAAAGGATATCACAAGGTAAAGATCCAAACGGATAGCAAATTAGTGGCTCAATTGTTACACAATGGCAAGAAATTTCCCTGGAAGCACCATGGCTTATTACAACTGATACAAGGTATTTTATATTGCACTGGGTTTTAAGTGCATCATATATTCAGATAGATCAATGTTTTAGAAGATGGCCTATCAAAGCAAGCATCAAGAGGACAATCAATAGAACATGATAGTTTAGCTAGCCTTCCTAGCTCCTTGCAAGGTATTTTATACTTGGACCAAATGTCTTTCCCATATATTCGGGTTAGGTAGCCAAGATAGATTAGAGAGCTGTCATGGGATTTTTAGAAGATCTTTGTGAGACAGTCTCTTAGTTTAATTGATTGAAATTAGGAAACTGCTGTGGGATTCTTGTATGATCTTTGTAAAGCAGTTTTTTAGGAATTTTCCATTAGTCATAAAAACTGAACTGTCACGAGTTTTTTAGGGAACTCATTGTAAGACAGTTCTTAGCTAAATTTAATTTGAAACCGTCATGGGGTTTTTAGAAAATCTTTATAAGACGTTTCCTCAGTATGGGTAAGTCTTAAGCACTGCCTATGTACTTTTCCTTTTAATCAATAAAATCGGAGGGATGCCCGCTAGGTACCGCCCTGGTTCTCTTAAAAAAAAATGTGAATCTGATTTGTAAAAGTGAACCATGCATATTGTATACTAGACAAAATATTGTTTGCGTTTAAGGTCTTAATTTCAATAACTACCATTTTGTAGGTTGAAGTTTCAGAGATTATAATAAATACAAAATATATTTCATTATAAATATTTGTCAATATTGACATCGATATATAATATATTAAAAATACAAATTCATTGTGCAACAAACGAATATGGTACCTCTTTAAAATAATTGGTTGTAGTTTCAAAGATTTAATATAATTCGTTGTAAGGTTATAATAAAAACTTGCCATAAAACCAGCATTATTAAATTTTAATAATAATCAAATTGACAATTAATTTAGGAAACATACCATATCTTAGATTGACAATTACAGAATTAAACCTGCCATATTTACTTATTCTTCCTAATGTCTCTTGATTATCTTATTCAAGCCAAAACCATCACATATCCTCCACTAAAATAGCTTGATTTATGAACTGCCTAATTTTTATTTTCGTTATCTCCTCTTACAATCGTCCACCGCCAAATGCAAAGATTTCTCTATCTCTCATATTTAATATATCTACCAAAAAACTCTTTTTAATACACGATTAAATAGCGGGAAGAGTGCACGATAAAAAATCACTTCGTAAATCTAAAAAGTCAATTAAAAAGAATAAAATATCACAGTCATATGCACTATTATGTAACAACGAAAATTCAACCGAACATGAAGTATATAAAAATTCTAAAACCATAAAAAAAAATCTATATATGTACTGGTCGCGCAACGCGCGACACGTAAAAGACTAGTACATAAATAAAAGGCACAGTAGCCTAGAACTAATATCCAAGAGATATTTAAAAACTACCGTCAAATCGATCTTGTCCGTCGGATTGGGTTGATATGATATCAGCGACTTATTAGGGTTAAAATTGTCAAATTACGCATTTAAACCATCCAAATAATTTACAATCCATAATGTACTAAATTATTACAACCCCCCCCCCCCAAACCCAAAAAAAAAAACCCTCAAACGCAAAAAGAATGACCCCGTCCTGCCTTCCGTCGTACTCAACATTTTCAACAACCCCCTTCGATGCTACTCCCTCCGGCACCCACCTTCGCACCTTCTCCTTCCGCCACCCTCCATCAAAAAAATTCTTCCTTTGCCGCTTCTTCCTCCGGCCCCCTCAGTCTAATAGATCATTCTCTACATTTCCGGCAGAATCTGACTCTCCGCTTCTCCATTTCCACCGGCAGCTTATCCGCCAAAACCATCACATTGCCGACGGCGTTCCTACCAATACTCTGAACATGACGTTGGGCTGTGTAGTTAATTTGGGCCACCAAGCAACGATTTTCGTTCTTCTTCTTCAAATTGGATTAGGAAATCAACAGAAAAAGAAAAATTCCCAATTCAGATTCGTCCCCTTCGTTTACAATCCCAATCGAATTACAAATTCAATTACGGTAGGAAATCACCCAAAAAATAGGCAAAATTTCAAATTCTTATTCATCCCCTATTTTGTGAATCCCAATCGGATTACAAACACCATGACAGCATCTGCTCTATAAATACAACAGCAACCCTCACATATAGAATGACATCCCGATCAGATTTCCAATTACGACATCCCAAAAATTCTTGCTTATTATTCATACCTATTTTTTTTTCCTTCCTGCAATTTTTTTTTAGAATGGCTCCTTGTGCACCAAAGATGATTGCGAACAAGGTTGAAATTGATAAGCTCAACGATTCTGATCAGCCTTCGACTGCTATTATCACTGTCGAGGAGAAGCAAAATCCATTCAGCCACTACACTAAAACCCAAAAGATGGTATTCAACGATGAAAAGGTGAATTACATTATATATATTTGTTAGTTGTCATACTAATTTTCACCTCACATATTTATAATATTAATATTTGATTTATTATTGTAGGGTGCTAAAGTAGAAGGTATTATGTTCGAACAGGTCGTCAGCATCATGGGACCATGATTCCAGACGTGTAGAAAATACCGAGTCTCCAACGCACCTATCCGGTACATTAAACAAGAGTATAGGTCTCCAGGTCTTTCCAAACAATGGGTCATTGGTATTGGACGGTTGTTAAAGAGGTTAACGAACCTATTACTACTCTTGTGACCAAGGAGTAATACACGCCCTTTGATTCCCTTAATGATTTTGCTGGTGTTCAAGATGGTTTTAGTGGGAAGTGTTATTGTTTTACTTAAATATTCTTATCAAATAGAAAACTTATGTTGATCTATACTCTTTTAAACAACCTTTTTCTTACAGATGTTATTTGTATCATAGTCAAGAGAAGCCACCCACAAACTGTTACGACAAAAAAAGGGAAAAAAAGAATGATCCAGAAGTTCTGTAAGCTAAATGAAGAGTAAGTTTAATATAATGGTTTTCGAATTATTATTAACTGAACATGTTCAAGCTAAGAGTTACCCGACCGTCGTTTGCCGCCGGATGCTTATCTTTGCATACAACGGTACACTAATAAGCCCTTTTTAAAACAGACTCCTTAACCATACTTTTTCTACACACTTGTTCTCTGATAATTTAATTCTCATATTAATCAGGAATTAAGGTAACAACTTCACATAGATCGGTGGTTTTGATCTATCCTCCTTCTGACAAAGCAAGGAAATTGAGGAACTGGTATATATTTTTATTTATTCTACACCAACTTTTACAAAATTTTCAGCATATTAATTACCTTTCTAACTTTTTCAAGCCACAATAAAACAGGAAGGAAATCGATCTTTTCTTGCAGAATAAACCATCATTCTCGTTTACTCCTGGCATCAGTCACAAAAACCTTTCGCAAATCACTCCAGTCACACATATCGATGATGAACAATAGGTTAACACGCTTGGTTCCTAATACTCTTTATGCAACGTGTATTAGTTCTTCTTATATTTCTTCATTCAAATTAACTAAGCTTTAAATTTTGCCAAAAAAAAATAGGATATCTTACTCAAAGTCCATGTTCAGTTCAGAGACATACCACAACCATTCTACTGCATGGCTTGCAAGGAATGCGGCACCGGAACATCAGCAATCTATCAACAAGATTTCAAATGCAACAAGTGGTCATTAAAGCAATCTGCAACCAACCCAAAGTATATCAATTTCAATTTCTTAAGATACAGTTCTGAAACATATGGAAATTTAGAAATATTATATGTGACATTTTAGCCGATTAGATGATTTTGAAATATTCCTAAATCTTACAGTTGGCATTCTAGGTGTCGTCTGAGAGCTAACATTCATGACGAGAGTGGATCAATCCAAGCTAGCATTTTTGGTAGCATCGCAGAAAAGATATTGGGTTTCACTGCAACAGAAGTCGTTGAGAACCCAAAAAAGGTAAGCACATTCTTCGTTTTAGCTATTTAAGTTCCAAAACACGCATGTTTGAAAAATCTAATGTTTCCTTTCTTTATATATGCATTGAAAAATGACAAGTCCTTAATATCTTATTTGTTTTTTTTAACAGATAAATCTTAAAGAAATACATGAGCTGTTAGAAAACAAAACATTTCTATTGCAGCTGAGAGGATAAAAAAGAATGTACAGGGGGCTTCAAGATTACTATGTCAACAATTTAATTGAGGACGACGGTTCTTTTGTGACGCCATTACTGATAACCGCCAGAGAGAGTGAACTCGCTGATGAAGTACTTAAGGACAACGACACTGAAGTTACGCTGATCAAATAAATAAGCGACCGACATGAGGTCAGTTTGACAATGAATTTACACCTCTTTTTTTGCTCTGCATATCTCAAATATATTTTTTTAGTTTAATTCCCATCATATTAAACATAAATATTAATGTTTCTTTTTGTTATAAACATACACGAAATATTTATAACATTTAATATTCCCTGATTACACATTACTAACTCCAACAGAGAAATATATTTTTCTAAATATTCTTAATTGCAATTTATATTACACAAGTATTAGTAAAGACTGGTCGCGCAACGCGCGACACTAAAAGACTAGTGATGTAATAATGTACGATGAAATGATGAATTAATTAAATAATATTAATAAATAGCATTTAAAAAAAAATCTTGGGCCGCTGAAGTTAGGGGCCCTAAACACACGAGCCATCGAATCTAGCGGCCTATGCAACATGAGATGGCAGGGTCACCGGCCCAAAATATACAAGCCGGCTAAGTCACCGTCCCTGTAGGCCAAATTTTTTCCTTATAATATTCTTTTAATTGTTTAATATTTTTAATGTTTACTTAATTATTATAATTATTATTTGTTAAATTAGTAAATAAAGTTTTGTAAAATTAAGTTAGTTATTATCAAAATGATTTTTTTTTATTAATTGAGGTAATATGTTTTATAATTGTTTAGTAAACTTCGGGAAATAGTAATTAAAATATATTGGAAAAAATATTTTTTTTTTACATAAAATAGTAGTTAAGTTAGTTAATATATGATTAAAAGTTAAGCTAATTAATAATTATAGTGTCTAAATCACTTATTTTAGAAGGAAAAAATGAAAAGGATAGAATTATCTTTTTTACGGCGGTTTTTATCTTTTTCCTACCGACCTTTAATACGATACAGAGAAAGTACTGTAATTGATCTTTGGTCGTTGAACAATTTGATTGGGATAGAAACTTGAACAATTGAACGAGTCTCTGACAATTTCATTTTGATTGAGATTTCTCCAATCGACTACTCAAAACATTACATAGTTGGATGTGCCATTGGTAAATCTTTGGCAAATCTTTAAACCCCTGGATTGGTTCTATATATACGTGTGTGCGTGTGTGCGTGTGTGCGTGTGTGCGTGTGTGTGTGGGGGGGGGGGAGTGATTACAGTACAGTCGACTGAATGGTTCAGTATGTAATTGTAGCCATTAGATGAGAAATGAAAAATTCAACAACCAGTAGCTTCCAAATTCTAATTCAGAGCTCAATCCTTTGAATTAAATTAACTCGACGATTACTATTCACTTTGACCACTTCCTCCCAATAAATATCACACAACCACATATTTTCACAGGATTCCGCCATGATTATCTTTGCACAATCGTGAACATGGACAAGCTATGGTCTTAATTGGTCCCCCATGAATCCAACGATAAAGCCACTAAGGTAAGTGTCCCTTGATCAATGTCACTCGGTGTGGTTACGATAACGCTGTGTTGCCGAAAAAGCAGCCGGTCATTGATAACGCTAAGCTTATAGCCAAGATTGTAGAGAAGCAAATTATGCAGCCCGGCGGGTTTCTATTACTTACTGTTTGTTCATCGTCCTAGCCTCTGTTTGGATATTCGAATTTTACCACGTGGAATCTTTGCTGGAGGGAGAAATGTTAATAATTTTTCTCAGAAAAGAAAAAAAAAAAACAAAAAACCTCAAAGAGGGCTTGATGCGGAGTAAAAGTTATGATTTTTATGAACAGTTTTTATTTTCGGTACAATATGAACTAATTTTTTATCCATACGTAGGAATCATAATTTATTAATAGCCCTACAATCAGGTGTGGTGTAGTATTCTTTAATTTTAATACACCTCATTTTAATCTAACGGCTGTTATTAATTTTAATCATCCGACGGCTAGCAACATCAACTGGACCGTCCAGTTATTTTGGACCGTAATCGCTCCAGGTATATCGCAAATTATATTGAGCACCCGGTGCGCTCAAGCTTAGAGTGCACTGGCTGCTCATTGTTCTTTTTTTTTCTTTTTTTTTAAATTTTATTTTTGTATTTTAATTTTTATACACTTCTAAAAAAAATTTAAATGTAATTTCAACCACTTTCACATATGCAATTAATAAGTTAGGATTTAATGTGTTATATAATATGAATAACTTATAAATTTTTTTAATTCAATTAGGCTAGGGTAATTGAATTAAAAAAAATTAAACCGAATAAAAAACATAATGTGTTTAGTGTTTACGGTTTAGGTAGATTTAAATATTTTAATTAAGTTAAGATCTAGTGATTAATGTTTTGGTTGGGGTTTTAAAATAATAAAATTAAAGAAATTAAAAAAAAAGTGGCAAAAAAAGGTGTGATGCTACCTAAATTGGGAGCCCGGTATAACAACTACTGTTAGTCACCAGCCATGTGTCGTGCCAAGGTGACATGGCATGAATGATATGTTAGGATACACTCTGCATTAAAAAGTAAAAAACGCGAAACAAAGATTAGTCTGGAAAAAATTCATTGTTTTCACTTGTTGCGTGTTAATATTCTTCTTCGTTAAATTAAAATATTACAAAAAAAAAAAAACAATTAGTTACAGAGGATAATTCTTTGTTGGACACAATACAAAATTCTTAAAATTTGATTTGTTCGAAATTGTGTTGCGACTATTACATGTATTCAAATATTATCTATGAAATCATATAAATAAGGCAATTGTTAGTAAATGGAAAACTGCATTTTATTTTATTTTTTCAATATAGTCTCTCCGCCCAAAAAAATAATCTATATTGTAATTTGTGAGTACAACATACTCCCTTCCTATAGTTGGCATTCTAAAGTTTTTTTTTTTAACCGCATATTCCCTTCATATATAGCACAATACAATCTACAAATAACATAATTAACAAGGTAGACTAATTCAGGACAAAAGGAGGACAATTTACAATTTGATTTAATTTTTCCTTTCTGGTGCATTAGAAGTGGCATAGCTTGAAAAATGTTCGATTACATCATCCAGGTAGGCGGGAAACACCAAATGAGAAACAAATTGTGGAAGATCTTTCCATACAATTTAAAATACATTTGGATCCTGATTAAACCATTCACCAACAGCGTAGGTCAGAAATTAAGGATCATGCATGATGTCCTCAAAAACCAAGGATATGATGCACGGCACGAATACATTGAATGCCCCATCTAACACATGGAATCATAACGAACGAACTGAAAAAATAGAATTAAAAAAAAAAATCATTCAGATAAGATTTGCATTCTAGCATGCGATAAGCTAAAATCTGCATGGAATCGTCAAATTAAAACTTCGCAACTGTTTTTGATGGAGATGGGTGATAATGGACATAACAAACACATGAATCATGATGAACAAATTAAGTAAAACGTAAGAATATAAAAAATGTATCATTCACACCAAGATTTGGTTGCTACCAAACGACAAGCGCTGAAATCTGCACCAGAATCCTCCCCCAACACCCGAGAGGAGTCAAGCTATGGACAGGGTTTCTTTTGCAATCGATTTTGGGTCCCTTAACCATCTATTCATCTCCTAATAATTGCGTAAATATTTCACAAGTGTTTGATGGAGATGGGTGATAATGGTGTTTGAATTAACGTGGGATCATAAGAATAGTAATTCAGCCCTAATTAGGTGCACTTGAGGAAACTTCAACAATTGAAGGAGACAATTTGCAGTCGCATCTAGAAAGGTTATTTATTATAGTTTGTGGCTGCCGTTGGCCAACTCCCGCAAGTTAATGAACCCTAGCTTGGATGAGGAAAACTTGACAGGATAATGGTGTCAAATTTTTGGTCCAGTACGTCTAACCAACTTAAGCTGTGCAATCCAACTGTACAAAAACATGGCTTTTGCGACACATGATTTATGCTACTAAATGTAGCAAAAGTGCCACAAATAATATTTTGCAGCATAAACCATAGAAGAATCAAAAGTGATGTATTAATTTGGGTCACAAATTTTTGTAAAGCTTATTCAGAATGTCCTACAAAAATTGCGGCACTTTTTGTCAATATATGCAACATCAGATCGGTGACTCTTGATGGGTTATTTGATGCAATGTCACAAATTATATCGTCGCCTTTTTTTTTTGGTGTCATTGAGTGTTTGAAAATGCAAAATCATGGCAGTTTATGAAAAAGTGCGGGCACATATTTTTGTCGTCAACTGCATTTTTGCACACAAAATAATATGCAACACATTTATACTACTCTTTCTGTCCCAAAATTATTGTTCACTTTGTATTTCACTTTTACTACAATTTGAATTAGAAATAAAAACCTCAGTTGGACAATAATAATGGGATGAAAGGAGTACGTCATTTTTTAGATCTACATGATACAAAGGGGGAGTTGGGTCCAGTTGATCGCTAGTTTCGGTACCTGTAACAAGTTAAAATTTCTATACGTGACGACTATCGATCTATTGGAGATCGGGGCTTTCCAATTATCCTGAAAAATGAAAACCAAGAAAACAGAAAAATAAAAATAAAAATTTTCATGTTTCAATTTTGAAAATAAGAAATTTAATTTTAAACAATTGATAGAAAAAGTCCAATTCTTCCATCGTGAAATTTTATCGAGTCTCTTCGTCCCAAATAAAGCAAGATTTTCAGCTAGAACGGTGATGTATATCTACTACATATATTAAGGGAGAGTTTTTAATCGAACACATGTCGCAACCACATCACCGCATCATTTAACGGTAATTTTAATATAAAATTATAAATTTGTAGATAAAACTAATTGACTAGGAGATTACCCTTTAATGGTAAGTTTAAATGGTAAAAAAGAAAACTAACTAAAAAAACCTTCAAAATAATAATCTAAAGAAGTAAACAAACCAA